AATGCAGAAGGTGACCCTGAGACATCAGCTCCAAATCTTAAATCATGATCTGAGTAACAATGAGACTGATCGGTGGCAGTTGCTATTCATTAAAGTCATGTAGGGTAATTAAATTACTGAATTAAAAAAAAAATCTCACTTGCATGGAGAAAAGCAGAGATGCCTTTATTCACCCACACAATCTCCCCCAACTAATTCAAAATCATGCGACTGGGTGTCTGCTATTTTTAAGGGAGCCCTCCTAGAAAGATGGGACATGTTTCTTTTAAAGCTTTCCTTCAGTGTTAGAGATACAGTTAACGGAGGACTTAAGTATTACTGTGTAAGGGGGATTCAGACCCAAAGGCATTGACTTCCAGGGAGCGGGATGCCTAACGACTCTTTGCTTTTTTGAAAATCACCCCCAAAATGTCTAACAGCTTGCTTAGTCAATCAGGCCAAGGACCTCACCATTGATCTCTCAGCAAATTGCACTTTTCTGTTTGTAGTTAGTATCAGGTGCAAAATGGCACCCATGGAACTGGAGGTGAAGTTGAGCACCCTTTCAAGTTTTGGTCAAGACACCACAAACTTATCAAACTGTGCCCTGATTTCTTTTCCTGTGGGTCTTTGTACAGTCCCGACAGCACGTGGGATGTATGTGTGTTTCTACCCACAGTGTAGATGTTTCTAATGGGCAATAACTAAAACTGGACTGACTGTCATAAAATAAGACCCAAGCCAAATCTTTTTAGAGTTTGAAAGAGTTTGGCCAACTCTTGTCTTTGATTTTCTTTGTTGTCCTTCTGCACTTTCTGGCTTTTGTTGAGGCCGGGTGCCAACATACAAAAGCAGGCTGTCTATGATGTGGTTCTTCTCCACTCAGAAAGAATAAATGCTGAGAATCCCACAACAGTGCCTATTTCCATGAGATTCTGCACCATGGGTGAAAGTATTGGATAAAGATCTGAATTGTTGGCTGCTTGTTGAGCCTGATCTTAGTTTTGCCCATCCGTGAATATAATCAGATTGTGATTTTAAAGGCAATAATTTACCTGATAAAATTAACTTATTTTCCTACTCACGGGATGATTTTAAGTGCATGATGATTTCCTCCTATTTATTCATTATTCAATTTTTGTTGACCATTTATTTTTTTTTCTTCTATGAATTAACCCTAAACAGCCTGCTGTGTGTATTCAGTGCTCCATGTCCAAAATTTGGACTAGGTTGGTTAGAGTGTCTCCTGTGGTGCCAACAGTACCAAAGAAACTTCCTTAATTGGATGAGCTTAACCCTTGCATAATAACTGGGAATAGCTTGAAATGGCTGCTCCAGATTTGAATATCATAGACTCATAGACAATGAGGGTTGAAGGGACCTCAGAAGGTCACATCTAGTCCAATCCCCTGCTCAAAGCAGGACCAGCCCCAACTGCATCATCCCAGCCAGGGCTTTGTCTAGCTGGGTCTTAAATGCCTCTAAGAATGGTCAGTCCACCACCTCTCTGGGTCCAGTGCTTTACTACCTTCCTGGTGAGAGAGTTTTTTCCTAGTATCAAACCTCAACTTCCCTTGCTGCAACCTGAGCCCATTGCTCCTTGTGCTGTCATCTGCCACCACCGAGAACAGTCCAGCTCCAGGGTATCTCGGGGGAGTTTACAGGATTTGGGTGTTTAGAAAAATGTTAAACCTCTTATCTAGGTCACAGAAGCTTCTGTTGAGGTATCATTCATAAGGAAGAAACAAGTGGTTAAAAGCATGATTATATCCATGTCTGCTTTGTTTAAAAGTGCAGGAGCACTGGCCAGAGCTTTCAAGAGACATCTTACTTGTGGACCTTTCCCCTCCCTGCTAAAGTAACTCTATCTCTGGTTGTTTAGATTTTTAGTTGTATTTTTTTAAAGAAAAATGTACTAAAGCAGCTATCTATTAATTTTGTATCTCTCAACAGCTAAAAATAATCTGAGCTTTGAGTAACTCATCTTTTAACTACTAGTTTAAAAGATGCATCATAGTTAAGCAATCAGGACTTGTAGTAGAGTTAATATCTTTTATTAGACCAACAAAAGTTTTGCAAAAAAAAAATTCTTTAATTGCAAGCTTTCAGGCACAAATACCCTTAATCAGGCATTGGAGAAAAGATGGTAAAAGGTCTCCTGGGTAGAAATGAAAGTTCATATTTCATAGGATTTCACAGAGGAGTCAGAAGATGGAAAACTCCTCTGAGCAGTCAGTTCATAGCTGGTCTGGAGCCTCTCACCTCCTGCGAGGATCTGTGAGGATGCAAATGACCTGGACACAAAGGCAGGAGCAGGATCTCAGGTTTCAGGGGGTCACAGTTGTTTACTGCTTGGGAAAATATTTAAGTTTTTCATATTTCAGCAAGCTGCATTGAAATACGAAAAAAAAAAAAAAAAAAAAAGAAAGAAATTCTATATTGTGGTAGAACCGTAAAAAAATCCAGTTAAAATAGTAAGGAAACCTCATTAGATTTGGGATCAAAAGCCAAGTTTAATAACTGAAAATGTCTCATTGGGTACAAAGGATTTTACGTGGCGGTCAGAGCTGAATCCGTGGCCATAAGAAGACCTTTACCCTGCTACATCACAAATATGGTCTCACCGCAGTTGTATGTAGCAGGACTCTAGCACAAATCCCTGAGCCCTGGGGTCAGGTCTCGTTTTCGGCTGCCCAAGCTACACTCTAGATTAGCTTCTAACACCCATCTTCCCCGTATGATTTTACAGCAAGGTCTAAGGAGGTTTTGCCAGACAGGTCAGGGGAAGCGAACTCAAGTGCTGATTGCATCGGTGCCAGGTAGACAGGAATGAGGCTATTACGGTTTCAGTTCTGTGCCCTGATCCTGCACGTGCAGCCACCACCACGAAATTTAATTGACTTTAAAGGGACTTGGACTGAAAAAAAAGGGCCTGCATAGCAAATCCCCTTATGAGATCAAAGCCTAAATAATTTCAACTGCTCATCTGGGAAAGAAAAATGCATAAGTGAGCAGGGTAGAGCATTTGATTGATTTTTTTTTTAATGAATGGATTAGTGTGGGAAAATAATAAAAGATGGTATACACATCTTACAGCATATCTAAGCAAACTTATAGCCATATATGTATGCTGTCCGCCCTCTACATGCATTTCTGCTTTCACTGTCTGAATTTTGTCTTGCGTCCAGATTTTAAGCTCTTTGGGACAGGAATTTAGCACGCTCCAGTAACAAACCTACCAAAAACTACATCACAAGAATATTACGAAGGTGGGAAAGTCAAGCTCTCCACAGCTAGGAAGTGCAAGGATGAAAGCTGTGCAGGTGACCCGAAGCTGTGAGGCCATCTTTAATGGTGTGATTGCATGCTACGTTTTCCACGGGAGCTACGTGTCCTTCGGGGCAGCACGTTGCCCAGACCTTCCTTTCTCTATTCCTTTCAAGCCCTGCTCTGAATACAGAGCCATTCATTTCCACGTTGGCTTTTCCCTGGCTCCCATCCCTGTTCCAGCTGAATGTTTCACAAACAGTCATTCCTTTCTCTTCCCAACCTCCCTCTGAAGGGGAGGGAGATTTTGCCATTTTACAGGTACAGAGCAGAAGCATGGAAAGATGAAGGTCTCATTTGAAATGCCCCAGTGTAGATAGCCTGGCCTTGCTTTTTTTCTCAGAGCACTTAGCCCTGTGCCACCATCTTGCTGACCTGGGTTGCAGCTGGGAGCGCTCAGCACATCTGCAGATCAGCCCCAGAGTATCATGTCAAGCATCCGGAGCAAGAGGAAGAACAACCCATACAACAATACACACGGTGCTGTGGGGTAAAAGTACCTAACTTCACTTGTTGAAGAAAGCAGGGGGTAAATTAGCCTTCCCAGAGCTCCATGCATTTGCAGGTAGCCTGCAGCTTCTCCACCTCACCTAGTTTATAGCAAGCTTGGACTTCTCTACACTGCTGTGTAGTCTTCAGCATAGATATACCCACTGTTAGCCAAAGGCCTGGTTTAAAACTGCCCTCATGGATCAGGCAGGACCTGACTTCTAATATCACATAGGAGACCTGATAGGGGCAAGAATGCAACTCTATCTGCCAGGGCACCATCCACGTGCTTTAGTCAAAGATCATCCCTTCTCCTCCTGCAGCCTTGTTCAGTGTTGGATCTACACCTCCCAACTATTGTAACAGAGACGAGATTTCTACAGCCGCATTTAGAGCACGAGCCTGGCTTCTCCTTGTTGCAGATCTATCTCAGGGGCCTCGTACTCACTCATTCATGTCAAAGCTAGTGTGTGATGTAATTAAGGTTGACCTAATGCCTACGCACGAGGGAGAGGAATTATGATTACACAGGCAGCCTTCATTCTGGCTCTTCCTAACTTTTGAGTGTTTTGCAAGCCTAGTAATGGTCCTTTACTGCAGGATTATTTTCTTTCTGCTCAATTTCCTGGGGTTTTAAGGAAGCAAAATAAAAAAAGGAAGTTGCATCATCTGACATTTTATTTGCACCCACGTGAGGCAAGGTTTGACCTTTCCAACCCGCAGCAGAGACCTCTGACATTTGAGCTATGGATAGCAGCAGTATGTTGCCATCCTCTCTATGAAGCAAATGGCAGAGGAGGAGGAGATGCACATTTTGCCACTTGAATGAGGAGGGAAAATTACTTGAAAACAGCAGTCGGTAAAAGTCATAAGACAACTGCTTAATGTGTCTTCAGCTGTGGCTGCATTCAACAGCAGATATATCTCATCTTGCATTCTTTTACCAGCCGCATGATGGCAGAATAAGCCAAGCACATTGCAAAGTGCATTAGGAAGGATCACAATACCATCAAATCATTTCCACCAAGATTACAAGAAAAACTACAGACCTTGAT